ACAAGATGGGTGGATAGCTCTCAGCATCACGCCATCCGCCCTCTCCATGCCCTAGTACAGCTAAGGCGCAGATCAAGGCGCATTCATAGTCTTCAACCTGGATCCGCTGATTCAGCAGCTCGATACAAAAATCCAAGCAAGCAATGTCGATGGGGGCTAGTTCAGACTTGCCGTGGGCTTGTTCCGGTGCCTGCTGCTCTGCAATGGGATCGGGGGAGCTGCGGGCAGTGGATGGAGCGCCAGATTGGGGATCCAATTGGTGTGATTGATGAGTGGATTCTCCAGTTGCCTTGCCAGTGGGCTATGATAGCTTCCTTAGCTTTCTTGTCCGACCTTCAGAGTCAGCATACTACTTACCGAATTGCTTCGGCTCCCATCAGCCCAGGCCAATCGCCACACAGCCTGCCATGTCTTCCGCTGTCGCTTGGTAAATCGATAATGCGGGCTCGCCCAGTCATGCTGGATCTGCGTGCGGGCAAAAAACATGAGCACCTGCTGCCATGGGATGGTATGCCGTACGATGTTGTCCTCGTCCATATAAGCCTGCAGCGGAGTATGGGGGGTCTGATCCCGCTCAGTGCGTACTGCTTCAATCCGGATCATGTGGCCAGCATGGCTGCTGACCTTCTGGCTCATGCGGGCCACAGCTTCCATGGAATCCCAGATTGCCGCAGCAGCTCGCTCATCAGCAGCAGTGTCCATTTCCACCTCATTGGGCCGCTGGACGCAGTCAACCAGCTGCTGGGGGTCTAGACCGGCCAGATAGACAGCCCACTGCGTACGACGGAGCCATGGGTTGGCCTCATCCTGCTCCCCAGCCTCGATCACAGTGCGGCGGGCTTGCTGCTCAGTAAAAGCATCTTCCAATTGGGCCACCAACTGGTCTACCATCAGTGGCTGGGGAGTGTCGTCCACCTCAACATTCACAGTGCTGTCTAAATCAGTGGCTGGGGAGTGTCATCCACCTCAACATTCACAGTGCTGTCTAAACTGGGTTGTTGCACATGGATATAATGGGACCCCACTCCATGGGTAAAAGCCCGCTGGCATGAAACCATTGTGGTGGCCTGCTGGAAGTCCTGCTCCACTACAGCCCGTATATAGCGTCCGCGCTGGCCAGGCCGATGTGGAGGAGACCACTGGTGTGCTGTACGCCAGTGACTGTCCATGGTCTTAGCTGTACGGGCCACAAATTGACACCAAGGGTCCCGGCGACATTGGATGCCATCAGTGTAGATTGGGAGCCCAGGGATGGACTTGGTGACTGTTGCTGGTACCATCCACTGAGTACATGCATTGATTTGATCCCAGCCCTGGAGTTCAATGCTGATTTGTCTGGCTATTCCTAAAGGTAGCCGATGATGGGTGCTCTGGAGATGCTGAATTACCTCTTTAGGTTGTACTGCAAATTGACACTTCGTGCAAACAATCACTGGTATTTCAGCAGGTCGGGTGAAATATTGGTTCTGCCATATTGCAGGAATACCACTGGAATATATCTATATCCTGACTGGACGTCGCTTCGACAGCTGCAACAGGATCAATGTCAGGCACGGAGGTATCTCAGCTGCGGAGTTATCTCACGTGCATTGTATGCTGCCAAGCCAAGATAGCGGGCGATGGTCGCGGTGAATGTCTGACCCACATCTGATCCCCCATCAAAAAATGAAAAAAAGGCCAATTTCGATCATGGATATCTCGCGAAATAAAAGCCTATGCAAGCTCTAAATTGAAGGGAGGGTAGATTAGCAACCGCAATACAACATCTGAAAGTTTGGGATTGATCGGAGCTGATAGTCCCTCTTCAGTCGCTGTGGTTGAAAAGCTCCAGTCACCGTGGTCCCCACTTATTTTCTCCCATAGTTAAGATAGAACCCTAAGCTCCAGTCTCCGTGACTGAGACCACCCCCGTGGGATAG